GAATTAAACTACTTCCATTCCTTTATCTGTATATATTTCTGGCCCAGTGGATAAAAACGTTGGATGAATCAAGTGATTTAAGCCAAGGAGTTGTGAGTTCAAATACCTGGCTACAGCAGAGGTGAACAATAGGTATGGCACGTAGACCTGGAACAATCTACCCCGGTGGACTAAATAAAAGGTTCAGTTCGAAATTCCAGTCAATGAAGAAAGCTGGAGCGTATAATGGCCGAAATGTCATGAATATGGCAACAAAGATGAGGACAACAGTCTGAACAATGTAAATAGTGTAAATAATTCCATTTATTTTTATAAAGATTCAACCGATAAAATTAATTTGATTCAACGATTTCAATTGATTCCGAGGTTTTTACTCAATTTGGACAAGTAAAGAGATTGCTTAGAACACGTTTTCTTTACACAGAAACCAAGAGTGTAGTAAAGAATATTATCATAACTGCAAACAGGAAGGAAATTAACACAGATAATGCGCCATTTGAATTGGTTAGCTAAGCTAAAAAATTCTCAACCTCTATTATAAGGATATATACACATTTTAGCAAGTTATTTAACATTTTCCATATAAATTTTTATCAAATTTACTCTGAATTAAAAAGACGGTCAGAGTTTAACATTCGTACCCCATAAAAAAACGGTGTGACAAAGGACATGTTTTCTCTTGACACTGCTATTACTGTATATACTCTCTCAGCAATATTTATTGTTTTAAAAGGCTATTTATAGAATTTTAATAAAATCCAAACACATGAAACTGAATTTATGCATTTTCTTTCTAAATAACAACAAAAGAATTAAACACTATTTATTTGGTTAGATTTTTTGTTTTCAAGGAAAAATATGTTCACAAGTGCAATATACAGTGTAGCCCGGATATAAGAGAGTTGTCGTGACCGAAGAAGAAGTCTCTTATATCCGGGTTTGGTTTATTTTGTTAAGGTAAGTATGGGAATACTTTGGGACCAGAGAAAATCTATCTTATATCCGGGTTTCTCTTATATCCGGGTCTCTTATATCCGGGTTACACTGTATATTATTTACTATGTTTTAAAGAAAAAAAACTATGAAAACAAATATTTTATTCATAAATTTATAAACATGTCTATGGACAAAAGAGCAAGAAAATTTAAATAAACACATGACTGAGTAAATGTAATAATAAATTTTGGTAAAAAAGAGAAACGTGCATTTTCCCGGGATTTTTTTTCATTCGCCTTAATAAATTCAGTAAAATAGTTTGCGACCATATTGATATTTTTTTTTTCTAGAGAACTGACAAAAACAATGTTAAACACTATATATTTATTAGATTGTTTAATTACAAGAATAATGCTTAATAACATTTGTTGTCAATCATACAGAAAAAAGATAATGCATAAATCCTGTTTTACGTTTGGGTTTTATTAAAATTCTAAAAATATTTTTTTAAGCTATAAAATTTGCCGAGGGAGTGTCAAGAGAAAAAACATCCTTCTTTTGATACATCGATTTTGCGGGTAAGAATGTTAAACTTTGTCAACAGATATTTATATAAATCGCTCGTAGACCACTTGACTTCAAACTCGGAATGTTGAGTAGCCATCACAATGCAATCTGTTGACACTAAGAGCTCGAACAACTTGATTCGAAGATAGTGTTATGGCAATCGGTGCTGAAAGTAAAATCGGCGAGACGTGTTCACATTCCGATTGATTTCGTTCATTAATACTCCCGGAAAAAGGCATGAATCTATCTTTCTCCAGCTAAGGATTAGGTACTAGTGTAGACTGGGCTTACTTTACTAGGATAATTAGTATCGTAGGGATTTCACATGCTACGCCAATGTTTTTCAGCCCCGCCTTTTTTTTTTTTATCTCACGGTACACTTGAAGCTTTCGCGGTACACTTAAATCATGATGATAAAAAATAGTAAAAATAAGAGTATATATTTTATTTTTAATTTATTGACACAAAGAAAATAATTATAATTTGTAATAAAAAATAACAATTAAAATTATTAAAAAAATTCTGTTTATTACAATTTGATATTTAATGAAGTATCTGAACTCATTTCGTAGGTCCCACCCACTTTACATATTTTCTATACGTTTATTTATTATAACAATGATATAATCGTATAATCAATTTAAACTTTGGACTTAATTTAATTAATGATCTTTAAAAATTTTCACGGCACACCGGTTAAAAATCACTGTATTAGGCTATATAGATTGATTGATTTTTCGATATCTTGATGGATCAACGATTATACCCGAGAAAAAGTTAATATTTATTTAATAATACATATCTGATTAACTGTTTTAAAACTTTTATAATGCTTTTTAAAATGACTATTTATATAGAATTATCACTTTGCATTTTTTTGTATTACAAATATCTGGGGCCAGCTCCATTTTGATAAGAAATTTGCATTACTAGACCAATCAGAAAAGACCGAACTTATTCACAGTAGCTTGTAAGTCTAGCAAGTTAGCTAATGCGCAAGAAAATACGAATGCTTTTTAAGAAATTACTCCCACTGATATTTAATGGCCGACACATGGAGACAACTCGGTACAGCGTTATAACATTACAAATCTATCACTGTAACTGATGCGTATAACATTACTGTAGACGCCGACATTTATTTTTATATATATATATATATATATATATATATATATATATATATATATATATATATATATATATATATATATATTCATAATTGAAAGTTAGGTCGACATCGCCCTCACAAACTCTTGCCTTCTGCTAATTCTGATAGATGTCGGATTAACAATTATAGGAATATCAGTGGTGTGAATATGCAAGTAAATAAATGGGGTATAGTATTGACTAATAAGCAATCTATTTTAGGGATACCATCAACATTCTCTACTAAGTATTCCAAGAAACAGGATAAAAGATAAAACATTCCAGAACAGTTGGTTGGTTTCGTTTAGCGTCATATCAATCTTTATGATTCCAAAAAAGATCTAATCATTTTTAAGCACAGATATGCTTATGAACATTCCTCAGGATAACTGAAAATCCGCCATTTTATGGATGACATGAAATGATACAATTCAATGTCTAATAAGCGAAATTGAGTATATGACGATTTTATTTTATTTTGTATATGCAAATTAACATCTAAATTATTTTAGTTTAGGATTAACTTATGGATTTTGAAAACCTTTTTGTAGCCATGTATCTTAAGTCGTATTTCTTTGAAGAATGGATATACTGGAAAAAATCTAAGGCGCAGATTTATATCTTAATATGGTTCGATAGTGGTCCTCTCGAGAATTTTAACTTTAATTTTAATTCCTCTCGAGAATTTTAAAATGCATCTAATCTAAAGATTAGATGCATTTTACTAATGTGAAAAATCATCGAGCACCAACAATATTATCAATAATAATATTTGTAATCTTATCTACATTTACTTTTTCTACCTACATTTATATACGTTCCAAATTAATCTAAGTACCACTATTAAAGGATGAAAAAAATTTCCCGGATTTTGACGTCATTCTGGGGTCTTTTATTTGTGAATTTGTTTTCCCACGGTAAATCTCGTAAAACAGTATATAAAATTTATTATAAATTAATTTTTATGTACATAATGTTGAATGTGTTAAATTATTCAAATCTTTCAACAAGAAAAATCTCAAGGTGATGTTAAAAATTGCCACAAAACATTGTTGATTTATTTAAGATGAAATAATCTATTATGACACGTATTTAATTTGTATTTAAATGTATTGTATTTATTTTCAATTTTTCAGATTGAATTGTTCACCTATATTGCATATGATGCATTATTGTACATAATTAGGTTACAATAAAATTTTTTCCTGGCTGTGAGTATCAAATTTTCCATGCTCTCTTTCCACATTACGTGCCCTAGAAATTTCATTATGTGCCCTAGAAATTTCATTATGTGCCCTAGAAACTATCGTAGACGAACTGTTACGTACAAAGGATACCTAAAAAGTGAAATAACTTCATTGTATCAGAAAAAAAAAACGTAGGAATTTCATTAAAGCTAAAACAGATAAAAGCCAGGAAAACAATAATTATTATCTTTGTGAAAAAATACATAAATTTGAAAATCACATCATAATTGAATGTAGTAAGCTAGCTGAAAGGCAATATGAAAACAAGCACGACAGAGTAGGCAGAGTAATACACTAGGAATTGTGCAAACGATTTGGGTACGTAATGAAAAAGCACCAGTAAAAGATATAGGTCATCATAGAAAGAATGATAGAACTAGATTTAACCAGTGAAAATTTTAGGTTTTTCTTATTTTAATATTCTGATAAATTTTAATTCTTAAGTTAATGCTTCAGTAAACCCATGACGAGTTCTGCGACAATTCCATAGAAATTCCTATATCACACCGTTAAATATTTGAGCTTAACAACTTTAACAAAATATTGCAAGAACAATCATAAATATGAATGCTGGTCGTTAAGAAGTGGGTACAAATGAAAACATCTGAAATTGACAACTTTTTCCATTTCACTGAAACACTTCTATCCTGTCTTCTTTCTTTCATTTTCTCACTGAAACCAATTAGTGTCTTTTCCCATGTTTCCAATGCGATCAAAACGGAATAGCCCACTATTTATGAGGTATTGGCAGGACATAACGGTCGTGCAAACTAACGAAGGGAGAGACAATTACAATTATAATAGAATACTCTCAATCAACAACCACCAACGTCAAAGTGAGAAGACCAGATCTGATAGTTGTGAGTAAAGAAATGAAAATTTACCAGATTGTAGATATGGTGCTACCAATATCCCACATGATGCACGTAGAAGAATAATTTGAAAAAGTCCAAACCCTTGTCTGAGAAGGTAGGAAAATATGTAGCATAAAGATTATTATATTTTTCTCGCGATAACTGGCACGCTTGGATCCATACTAAAATCACTCGAAACGAGAGTTAGAGAGTTAAGGACATAAGGATTTAACGTTGTTCGGACTCC